ATAGGATGGATTCTGCATCTGCAACATTCTTTAAGTGGTCTTATAGGAGCTTAGAAAACAATAGCACAAAATATGCCACTTATTTTTCCCCTCAAACCAAGAGCATCTGTGGAACAGCAAATGCAGGGAGAGGCTTTCTCTGAACAGAGTTCCCATCTATCTAAAGGCCTGATCGTTGATAAGATATTCAATGTTGTGACTCCCTTCCACAGATATCATTAGCAGGAGACCGCTGCACCCAGAAGAAAGACTAGAGCTGACAACACAACTACAGCCCAGATAAACTTTCTCAGGTCATTCCCTGTCCTGCCCATTCATCTTCCCTAAAATCCATGCCTCCTTCTTCTACAATTGCCTGCATCCCTAGCTTGCCTCTCTCCTGAGAGGAGAGTTTATAAGGTGCTTGACTCTGTTAGGAGGTGCACACCATAGATTTGCATGCCTTTTCTCTGCTAACCTGTCTACCACCAGTTTACTCCTCAGACTTGAATTCCAAAACTTCAGAGGGAAAGAGGGCTCTTCTGGTCCTACAGTCTTAATGACACATGGAGACAATGCAAACCGAAGGGTTTTTAAGGAGGGTAGGGATGGCGTTTATGCTCAGCTGTGACCAGGGGAGAGGGGAAGTTCCATGTGTCTAGGTGTCTGATCATGTTTTATTTTGGGTAAAATGTATGGAGGAAATATTTGAGAGAGTAAGTACATGGGAAGAAAAAGATTGAACAACTAATGGTCTTTGCATTAGTGCATATGTCCATGTGTTCACATGTGTGTTTGGGGATAGGAAAATGAGAATTAGGAGAGGCACTGATGAACTATTTTTTGAAAGAAGAGAAAGAAAAGAATATGCCGCAGTCTGGCTGCAGCAAAATAACGGGGGGGGGGGGGGGGGGGGGGTGTGACAAATAACTTGTGTACAGCAGGAGTAGGAGCCCTTTATTGTAGGACAACAGAGGTATTTATACATTTTGCACAGCTTATCTTAATTAGCATAAACTAGATACATCAGTCAACCAATAAGGAATCTCCACACTTAATGGCTTGCTTTTGTTACTTCTCAAACCACTCCCTCTGGCATTTTGCCAGGCACCATCCAGACTTGTTTACGGACTCTAACATTCCCCTGGCAAAATGCCAGGTGTTATTTTGACTTGTTTACAGACCTTAACAAGAATATGCAAACACAACCTACAAGAGAAAGAAAAAATGATATGCGAAACACAATCCACTAGTCAATTCCAAAGCTTTAAGCAAAATAAGCAGGATAAAATCAAGTGTCAAGGAGATAAGTAAAGTAATATATCAAACTGAAAATTTAGTCACATTAAAAGAGATCGAACCCAAAACCTTGAATTAAGAACATTAAGAAATTGTTAATAAGACAAGTACAGATCAATAAGCAAAACATAGAGCCTTGTTTATTCATTTGATCAGAAAGAAAGGGAATTGTATGAAACCTGAAATGGTCAACATTTCTCTTGAGAATGTTATGCTCGAATTCAGGACCCCCAAAAGACCACCAGAGACCAAGATGGATGTAGGCAGCAAAGAGGTGTTTATTGCGAGCTAGCTCAGTCCTCCCCACGCACAGCAACTGGTGACGCTGAGAGGCCCCGAGCCCAGGGTTTGCAGCAGTTTTATACACTCTTTGGGGAAGACAGGGACTTCACAAATATCATAGCATCTCTTAGCAAATCATCACACACCGCAGGAAAAATCACAAAACAACTCTAAAACATGATTAGCACACTCACTGGCGGGAACAAGTTGGGTAGGGGTGATTGGTTAGTACAAGAGGGGGATTCATTTGAACTGATTGGTTTAAGCCAGAGGGGTGAACATGCTGAACTACATGGTTTCCCAACATGTTATCAACCATCATAAACTACTGGGGGGTCATCTGGCATCCCAGATATTTCCCTGTCTCATGCTGATGGGTGGCTGCTAGGGGGTTGCTGTGGGTCCCCACCTAGCCTGACTTGAGTCAGGGACACCTGGTGCAGCAGATCTCTCCTGTTATTTGTAGATAAACAACTCAGCAGGTGGGAATGTGCCTAGGAGTGCTCTGTGGGTCTTTCCAAGGACAAAGGTCATGTCCCTTCCTTGGACAGGCTTTGCTCTGAGGTAAAGGCTGGTTTTTCAAGAACATTCATCTCCCCTAATGTAAGGAAAATACACAATCATTTATCAGGATCAATAAGAATTTATTGGGCAACTCATACTAAGTAGCATTACTATTTCCTGCGGGGGGGGGGGGCATTTTGCACCTACTTAATTTAAATGAAACTAGATTCTCCAACTCTTTAAGAAATCTCAAGAATCAATTAATTTTCTCCACATAGGTACAAGAAGAGAATTTTTTTTGAGAGGAGAGAGAGAGAGAGAGAGAGAGAGAGAATTTTTAATATTTATTTTTTTTAGTTCTCGGCGGACACAACATCTTTGTTGGTATGTGGTGCTGAGGATGGAACCCAGGCCACACGCATGCCAGGCGAGCGCGCTACCTCTTGAGCCACATCCCCAGCCCACAAGAAGAGAATTTTAAAACTCTGATTTGACAAAGAAAATGTACAAGCATTCACATCCCTAAAAACACACATGTCCATGGTGTAGGAGTGACCCTTTTCCTCACCACTTTGCTGGTCCTGGCTGCACTTGAGAAAAGACAGGGCAAGAAGACCACAACAGACACACCTCGTCATTCTTCCAGACAGGGAGCCTTCAGAAGTGAAAGCCCAACAGCTCGGCGCAGACCGCTGACTTTTATGCTTAGACTTGGTGAGGAGTGGAGAGCTGTGGACAAAAGGTGGCAAACCTGGTGTTCAAGGACTGAAGGGCAGCCCAGCAAGGCCCATCTGTCCGGATTCTTCCTGGTCTCTCTGTGCCATGCTTTACTCCTGGGTATGGGGCAGGACCCCTCCAGAATGGGGCATCAAGGGAGATAGGAGAGAGTGACCTCTCCAAGGGTTAGGGCCTGCCTCCTTGGGGAGACAATTTCTAGTCTACTACCCCCTCCCCCCAGCAATTCTGGCTTCTGTCACTAGCTTTGGAAAAGAAAGAAGGGCAGAAGAAGGGCAGGGAAAGGCTTGTGTCCGAGGTCTTTCAACTTGAAGTACTAGTGCACAAAGTGCCAAATTTTGGAACATTGCTTTCTGAGCCCCAACCAACAATGAAATATTCTCCAGGCAAGCCATTGTTAAGCCAATCAAACCAGAGCCCTTCCTGAGTTATGTTGGCAGGGGACCATAATAATATTGAACTGCAAACTAAGCTACTTAGGTGTAAGGATCATGCTGAGCACATTATTTTAAGAAACGGCAAACACAAGAAAAGTGCAAAAACAGAGTAAAAGTTTACTCTTGAAAAAAGAAAAAAAAAAAATCCTTACCTTAAGGAAATTTTCAAGGGTAAAAGTATCTTCTTCTACCATACCAGAAGAGGAGAACAACTCACAGAAGAACATGCTCATCCCTGAGATAATTAGAATCTGCAGACTTCACTACATAACCTTCATCTTCATAACACTTATCTTTCAGTAGTTTGCCCTGTAGGTTTACCTCACCCCTTTAAGATGGCCTATAAGGCCCCCTGGGGCCTATTTGCTTCTTTGGGCTTTCATTCCTTTTTTTGTAAAATCTCCCATATTTAACAACGCCCATGTTAATATGCCAATTTAATCTGTAAGGCCCAGCTACTAACCCTGAGCTGGAGGAAAAGTCTCTGCTCCTGGCATTTCCTACAAAAAGTAGCACTCCTAAGGGTTCTCACTGTTTCAAGATTTCCTCATATAAAGTTTCACTTTAAAAAGAATAACTGCCATTTAATGACGAATAATGCCCGTGGATTTTCGAATTGCAAGGGAAGCAGATTATGGTGATTATGCCAGTAGAAGAAGCAGGGCTAACACCTTCAATATTAAACATGGGGATTCCACATTAGCAAGAAGGCAAAAGACACCAGTTCAATGAGAAACAGATTATATAACAGGAGCATGTGATTAATGCTTTGCATGTACAATAATCATAGTTCACAGTGCAGTTGGAGAGACTAACTTCTAAAATATGTTAGACATTTGTTAAAGGAGGAAATAACCAACCAAATATGCCTGAAACAAAAAATAAACATTCCCAAGGTTGGGAAAAGGAAAGTTAAGAACTCAAGACTTGCATCAAGTAAAGGCAGCTGACTCCTAGAAGCCAGGGGAGGGTCAGAGGAAGTCAATCCGAACCACTGGCGAAGTGGAAACAGCCCAGCACTCTGCCTTTGAAACTCTTTACCCTGGAAATAAAGCATCCCTGGTTGCCGGATCGGGCATTACGTGGGCTTCCAGTTAATTTTCTTCAATAGAGGAGACGCTGGAAGGGCCCCAAGCTACATCGCATTTGCCGCACTCTCCAGAAAAAAAGAAAGTGAAACGCCCTTCCTCAAGCAACTTCCGCAAGCTTTTCCCAAGCAGAATAAAGACAATATTAGTCACTTTTCCCCAGAAACACGGCGGCGCATGAAGGAAAGAAAAAGTGAACCAGGAGAAGGGCAGACAACCACACTTTAGAACAGAGAGGAGGCTACACCTGAGAGAAGATGGTCCCTCCTCCGGCGCACTATGCCCAGATCCTGAGAAAGCCAAGGAATAACAGCTAACTTCCCAAATACCCAAGGGGCTGCGATGGCCTCTCTTGAAATGGCCAACTCGGTTTCAGAAGCGAGAAGGAACTGCTGCGGCCAATGTTAAACAAGAGACAGAGAACTCCAGGAAGGGCCAGGTAAAGGAGGGAATGGTAGCGCAGAACATTATGAAGTTGGACGGAGAAACTTTTAAATATGTCTCTTCCTAGAATCTGCAGTTTAAGCACCGCCCCCCCTTTTTTTTTTCCTTGAAAACGTGGGACGGGCTTTCTCTGGGATTTCTCTGAGCTTGTGCCACTGGCTTGGGAAGTTCTCAAACAGGTCCGAAACTCTGCTATATATATTATAGCTCAGAGGTTAGAGCGTCAGTGTCTGTTCATTTTGGCGGGATGTCTGGTCGCGGCAAGGGAGGCAAAGGCCTGGGTAAGGGCGGCGCCAAGCGCCACCGCAAGGTGCTGCGCGACAACATCCAGGGCATCACCAAGCCCGCCATCCGCCGCCTGGCCCGCCGTGGCGGCGTCAAGCGCATCTCCGGGCTCATCTACGAGGAGACCCGCGGCGTGCTCAAGGTGTTCCTGGAGAACGTGATCCGCGACGCCGTCACCTACACGGAGCACGCCAAGCGCAAGACGGTCACGGCCATGGACGTGGTCTACGCGCTCAAGCGCCAGGGCCGCACCCTCTACGGCTTCGGCGGCTGAGCGTCCTGGTCCCGCCATCGCTGAACTTTATCAACCAAAGGCCCTTTTCAGGGCCACCCACTAGATCTCTTAAGGGCTGTAGGCATTTTAAAAAGTTAACAGTTTCCCTAAGTTTAAAAGAAAATCCTCACCAGCATAACAAATTCTGCGTACAAAGTTACGCTGATTCTCCTTTTCAGCATTTAAGCGTGGTTTTAGTCAGGCCCTGATAGCAACTATTTACAACTGTCTTTTGTCTATTATGGAATCAGTATGTCTCACATAGGTTTTTCCCTTCTGCCTTACAGTGGCGAGGACTGCCCGAACATTAAGTCATAAATATTTTAACCCTTTATAGGAAGTTAAGCGTGGTAGCATGGCGCATGCCCAATATTAAATCAGTATTAAATCAGTAAGTTATTTGCAATTACTAAACCGTGATTTCCCTTTCACGTTCCCCAGCATGCTTTATTTTTTTATGTTCAAAGTAATGTGACTTCGACTGGCTACATTTGCTAGCTTTTTAATGCACGTAAACGCTAGAAACTCAATTCAGTCCATAAAAAATTTCCTAAAAGATAAATGTGGAGGCGGAAAAGCTCCCTCTTTAAGAAGAGGATTGAAGTAAGAACCAATTCGGTGGGTGGAATGAGGAGCGGCAGTCTGCTGTCCAATCAGGACCCGAAGCTTGCTATAAATACCGGAATCTCTTGCTACTTTGCTCAGTGTGGAGATTGGTGAACTCAATAATGGCTCGCACCAAGCAGACAGCGCGCAAGTCCACCGGCGGCAAGGCGCCGCGCAAGCAGCTGGCCACTAAGGCCGCCCGCAAGAGCGCCCCGGCCACCGGGGGCGTCAAGAAGCCTCACCGCTACCGGCCCGGCACCGTGGCGCTGCGCGAGATCCGCCGCTACCAGAAGTCCACCGAGCTGCTGATCCGCAAGCTGCCGTTCCAGCGCCTGGTGCGCGAGATCGCGCAGGACTTCAAGACCGACCTGCGCTTCCAGAGCTCGGCCGTCATGGCGCTGCAGGAGGCCTGCGAGGCCTACCTGGTGGGGCTGTTCGAGGACACCAACCTGTGCGCCATCCACGCCAAGCGCGTCACCATCATGCCCAAGGACATCCAGCTGGCCCGCCGCATCCGCGGGGAGAGGGCGTAAATTTCTAGTGGCCAAAAGTCTGCACTACCCCCAAAAGGCTCTTTTCAGAGCCCCTCATTTATCACTAAAATGGAGCTGTTCCATGGACAATCTAGCCCAAGGTCGGTTGCCTTCCCAGAGGTACTTTGCTTCTGGACCACACTGACGTTTTCTTGTCTTTCTTTTCACACCACATAGTGACCGTGTATTGTTGGGTCATTTTTTAAAAAAAAGGCTGGGAATTCACCTGCAGTAGGGTTTTAGAGCTGTTAACTGATTTTCATAAAACAGGCAAGCTTCAGCTCATGTGCTCGTGCGCTTTCTGTGTGGATGGCTCTTGGGGTGTACATCTCGACTGGGAATAGTTCTGGAAGGCTGAGTTCTAGATGTCAGCCATCTGTGTATTCTCCTCTAACCCCTATTCTTGAACTCACTCTTGTAAACAGTCTCACCACAGCAGCTGGCCCTAAAGCTTTCTGGAAACTGGGCATTAATTAAAGAAAGTTCTGAACCACGAGGCTAGAAGGTCTTATAATTTAACCTCAATATCCTGCCATGCTGCCTCTTGCTGGCTTCATTGTTCTCTCCCCCATCTTCTGTTATCTTCCTGCCACACTAGAGGTGAGACCAGATGTCTAGACAGGTTAAATACCACACTGTCAGTTACTAGCTGTATAGTTTGCCAAGTCATTCTCTAGGCTTAGGCTTGTACAGCTATAAAATGTGGCAAAAGAAGTAAAACCTGCAGAGCATAATTACGGGTCACTTGTTATTTACTAAATGCTACAAGAAAGGCATCCCATATTGTTACACACTTGCTCCCCTCAATATTGGAGTTTGGAGTCTTTCCCCTCATTCTTAAAAGTTTTGTGATTGAAATTGTGGAAAGTTTTGGTTAGAGTATTGTATTGTTGATCTTCAGTTTTAATTTGCTTTGTTCTGAAGGAGACCTATAGCATCATCTGTCTGAAGTTCAAAATAGCAAAGAGCCAAATAGCAAATATTTTTAGGCTTTAAGAGCCACATGGTCTGTGTTATTTTTTTTATTTTTTTTTTTTACCATCCTTTAAAATGTAAAGACAGTTCTTAATATGAGGGTCATATAGAAAAAGACCACTGTCCAGAAACAACCACTTTGCCAACCCTGCAACAGTTTTGAACTGGCAAGTACTAAAGCAACTTGATTTTCATTTTTTTTAACTTATTGTTATTATTTTGCTCAAAAAGAACCTTTAAAAAAGAAAAAAACAGTTGATTCCATTTGAGATCTGAATTAAATCTGAACAAAACTCTGTCCATTTCCCTTTTCACCCCAAAACAACAACCCTCACCTACTTTCTAACTTCAAGGTCATTATCTCTATAACTCTAAGTCCATCATTCAATACTCAATGCAGTCTCACAGTCCATATCCAGTTATTCCACAGTATTTGTATGTTTGCACCTACACACACAAAAAAAATACCATGCCTATGTATGCTGGCTTCTTACAAAAAAAAGTATTTCTGACAGTGCGGCTTATTAAATGCTAATGGAGATTTCACTGTGAACACTTTCAAACCTCACAAGGTCCCAGATCATCTAAACAATTTGTGCATTTTAGGGTTACAGAAAGTTCTCAATTTTCTTCAGGTTTTAGAAATTTTTTCAAAAGCAAATTATCTGTATTACGTATCATTAACCCTATTTTAATAAATTTTCCCAAGAAATAAAGAGAGAAAGAACTTCCACCAGAAAACATACCGAATTTAATTTTGAATTCAGCTGGAGGGTTTCTGAAGTTCAAGTGATTTCAAAATCTGCTTCAGCAATGGAAGAAATCACTCTGACAACTGAGTTTTGCCTAGCTGCAAAATCTCATTCTTTATAAAAGACATCTCCACATGGAAACTAGTAGGAGGCAGAACAGGTTTTTAAAATAAGGTCTGTGAAGTTAATTTCAGATTGTAGCCCACCAGACCCCTGTGCCTGTGTTTCTTGCTACAGTTAGAAACAAAGTTTATACCCCAACCAGGGAAACTATTGTCTTCCTTCTTGCAAAAATCAAAGGTGGGAACTACTGACAAATCCTTTCAAATAATGTTTATTGGACACTTACTAGAATAACACAATCCCCTCAGTCTAGTGGATTCTTATGAAAAAACTTTTTAAATAAAGGGAGTTTTAAAAACATCTTTCATATACTAGGTGTGACGACAGACAATCGTGAAAACAGACAATCATGTAGACATAGAAGATGTTCTCTTCCTTTTGGCGCTTTAAAACACAAAATTCTGGGCTGTTGTTTTCAATATTTAATCAAATTTGCGGGACTCACAAGCACAATTTAGGAGTTCAACCTTGAGCCATAGCGGCCTGAGGGCGGTGGATTGGACGCTCCACCAATCACAGGCCAGCGCCGGCTTATATAAACCCCAGGTCGGAGCTAAGGAGCATTGCAAAAGTTGCTCTTTACATTTCGAGTCTCTCCTGTAGGAGTTCTTCCTATCGCCATGTCGGAAACGGCTCCTGCTGAGACCGCCGCCCAGGCGCCAGTGGAGAAGTCCCCTGCCAAGAAGAAGACCCCCAAGAAGGCTGCGGGGGCTGGCGCGGCGAAGCGCAAGGCGACAGGGCCCCCTGTCTCAGAGCTGATCACCAAGGCTGTGGCCGCCTCTAAGGAGCGAAATGGCCTGTCCCTGGCCGCGCTCAAGAAGGCGCTGGCAGCTGGTGGCTACGACGTGGAGAAGAACAACAGCCGCATCAAGCTGGGCCTCAAGAGCCTGGTGAGCAAGGGCACCCTGGTGCAGACTAAGGGCACCGGCGCCTCCGGCTCCTTCAAGCTCAACAAGAAGGCGGCCTCCGGGGAAGCCAAGCCCAAGGCCAAGAAGGCAGGAGCGGCCAAGGCTAAGAAGCCCGCGGGGGCCACGCCGAAGAAGCCCAAGAAGGCTGCTGGAGCCAAGAAAGCAGTCAAGAAGACCCCGAAGAAAGCCAAGAAGCCTGCGGCGGCCGGTGTGAAAAAAGTGGCCAAGAGCCCTAAGAAGGCCAAGGCTGCTGCGAAGCCTAAAAAAGCAGCCAAGAGCCCGGCTAAGCCCAAAGCGGTTAAGTCCAAGGCAGCCAAACCCAAGGTCTCCAAGCCCAAGGCAGCCAAGCCCAAAACGGCCAAGGCCAAGAAGGCGGCTTCTAAGAAGAAGTAGGAAGCAGGTTGTTTGCAGCAACCGCAGCCCCAAAGGCTCTTTTCAGAGCCACCCACCCATCTCTGAAACCAGCTGCACACTTGTCGTTTTTCCCAGCTCTTTTCCAGAAACATAGGAGAGCCATTTTATTCTAGCGAGTTATCACTCCAACTTTCAACTTGACCTTGTGGTGGCTCTCGGTCTTATTGGGCAGGACACCGCCTTGCGCGATAGTCACACGACCCCAGAGCTTAGTGAGATCGTCGTTGCGGATGGCCAGCTGCAGGTGGCGCGGGATGATGCGCGTCTTGTTGTCGCGGGCCGCGTTGCCAGCCAGCTCCAGGATCTCGGCCGTCAGGTACTCGAGCACCGCCGCCAGGTAGACGGGCGCGCCGGCCCCGACCCGCTCGGCATAGTTGCCCTTGCGCAGAAGGCGGTGGACTCGCCCTACCGGGAACTGCAGGCCGGCGCGGGAGGAGCGCGTCTTGGCCTTGCCGCCCTCGTTTCTGCATCCAGGTTTTCTCAATAAGACAAACCGCCTAGGTCCCTTAAACCAGATAGTCTAGTAGGACACGACAGTCTCCTGGGCGCGAAAACGAAGCTGTACGATTGGTTGGGTCTCATTTTCATTTTGATAAATGGAACGCGCTTTTGCAGGTCGCGAACTGTGATTGGACAAAACTGGCACCTGACGTCAGGCCAAGTTAACCACCAATCACCACAGACCTCTGCTACTCCTCATTTACATAACATTCTATACTTAAAGAGGCCCCGGCGGCGAGCTCCTCACTCTCGTCAGTTCGTTCTCGCCATGCCTGAGCCAGCCAAGTCCGCTCCTGCCCCGAAGAAGGGCTCCAAGAAGGCGGTGACCAAGGCGCAGAAGAAGGACGGCAAGAAGCGCAAGCGCAGCCGCAAGGAGAGCTACTCGGTCTACGTGTACAAGGTGCTCAAGCAGGTGCACCCCGACACCGGCATCTCGTCCAAGGCCATGGGCATCATGAACTCGTTCGTGAACGACATCTTCGAGCGCATCGCGGGCGAGGCCTCGCGCCTGGCGCACTACAACAAGCGCTCGACCATCACGTCCCGGGAGATCCAGACGGCGGTGCGCCTGCTGCTGCCCGGGGAGCTGGCCAAGCACGCCGTGTCCGAGGGCACCAAGGCGGTCACCAAGTACACCAGCTCCAAGTGAACTTGTCTGACTACCCACATCTCAAAGGCTCTTTTCAGAGCCAACCACGGTTTCCAAAAAGACTAATGCACTTCAATACTTGTGGGGTATCAGGCCAGAGGTGCTTTTCATCCGAAGCCTTTAATTGAAAAGGCACATCAAGTGTGATTTTCTGCTTTTCGAACTCTTAACGTTGAATTTTCAAAGACGGGAACTTAATATTTAGTGTTCATTTCGCTTAACATCAGGGTGGATTTAAACTAGTAATTGCCTGTTTTTGTTGGGTTTTTTTTTTTTTTTTTTCTCAGAGGGGGCGGCCCTTGAACCCAGGGGAACTCCACCACAGAGCCACATCTCCAGTCCTTTTTTTCAGACGATGTCTTTGCTGGGCTGATTTGGGCCTTGCTAAATTGCTGAGTCTGGCTGAACTCGCGGTCTTCCTTTTTCCTCAGAGCCTATGAGATTACAGTTGTGTGCTACTGAACCAGATGGGCGATTTCTGATGCCTAGCAGGCCTTTGTACACCAGAGCCTTCTGGCCTCTCAGGAAGAGGTTCAATGGATCTCAGGTACATTGGACAATGAAATTTTGTGGGTCCTTCCTGTTTTCTTTTGTAGAATAAGTGCTGGAAATGTGCCTTTTTTACTTTTTCTCAGCCTAATTTGAGAAAAAGACTAAAGGGTGTTGGGATGGGACTGAAGAAAAAAGAAGTTAGGGCTAAGTCTAGCATGGCTTCTCTCCCTAGCAAGGGCTGGACCCTCACTCCCTAGTCAGATGCTGAGCTGGCCTTTTTTTTAAAGCAGTGATATTGTACAATTGTCCTAGGTGGACCAGGGTCTCTGCCCCCCTCCCTACCTCCACACCTCTGTATGAAGTCCCTCTTGTCCCTAATACAGCTTGATCCTGCTACAGGTGCTCCACTTGTTTTCACATGGTCACATTGTTTCTTCCTTATGAAACTGAATTTGCATGCACACCCCACATGAAATCAGGAATGGCTTCTGCACACCCACCGGAGGCTAGGGGTGGGCTGGGACCCCAGCCTGACAGGCACAGGGGGAGCACAGTGAAGGTTGCTCACTGAAGCTGTCTAACAGGCTGAATCCACATTATGTCCCTTTCCTGCTCTATCTGTTCCCTGCCTCCTCTCTTTAGAGGTCCTAAGTTTCAGATTTTGGAGATAGAACCTTCCCTCTGTAACAGGGCAGGGACCTTCCCTGAAACTGAGACAGCATGAAGACACTCCCCACTTCATCCCACACTTGAAATCAGACCCCCCATATATACACCCTTCACCCCATGTCACTCAGAACAGGCATGAGTTTCTTAGAAGGAATATGAAAGGGGAATGGGGACCCGCTCAAGGGAGAGAGTGGGCCCTCTCAGAAGGGCAGCCTTTCCAGCCCTCCAATTTCATTGTGGTTCTCAGGGATTTCTAGAGTCTCACCCAGGTCCATCTCTTGGTTTTTGACTGACAGTCTGATGACATCAGACTTTCAAGTCCCCACTGCCAAAAAAACTCAGAGTCACTTTGGCCTATGCTGACCTGTTCTATTTGGACCCTGTTCTTACAGATTTTATGGTTAGGGGGAATTATCTTTTTCTCCCTGAGTTCTGAGATCTGGTCTGTATAAGGGTCACACACCTGTATAAGTACCCCACACACACACAGACACACACACACACAGGCCTGCATTTTCCTGCAGATAACACGTGATTGGTCAAGGAATGTGATATATCCTGTCCACTTAAGCCAGGCAGGGCTGTAGGTAAATTTCTTTTAAAAAATGAAAGCCTGCAGGGGTCAGCACAGTGGGCCCAGTTCATAGAATTATTTCCTTAACCTCATGTGCCCCCCATTATTTCAAAATAGGCTTTGAATAAAAATTATTTTCCTACCAATTTGACTGAGAATATTTCAAAAGCAAACAACACTATAACCCAACCTCTTTCTTCTGGTGTGTATTAGAGTCCTCTGATAACAACTACAGGAGTTCAGAGAAGGTCAAGATTTATATGTTGTCTTATTTGTGAAAGCTAGGGAGGGAAAGGAAAAGAAAGGTGGTGATGGGGGAAAATCTCATGAAACTCAAAAGGAGATAATAGAGTAGAGGAAAGGGACCAATGGGTGGGAGGAGTGGAGGGAAAGGAGAAATACTGTTATATTGTGTGAATGTACAAATATGTAACAATGAATCCCACCATTATGTACAACTATAATGCACCAATAAAAAAATGAAAATTGCAAAAGTTAGAATGTAAGTCAGTTTCTTTTCTCAATCAGCTACACATTTCATTCCTCTGTTTTGCTCTCAGGTTGGTTTTGTTGTTGTTGTTTTTAATAAGGGTAACTTTCTAAACAAAACAGGCTTTTTGCAATATGAAGGAGGGATAGAAAAGAGACATTTTTTTTTATCCAAGAGAGAAATGCAATCTCCCAATATTTAGGTTGGCAGAGTCCTCTCACCCCTTTCCAGGAATCAGTGGAAATATGAGTTCCAATCATTCCACAGACCATCGGATATTAAGATCTTAAAACTCAAACACCTTTATTGCTTTTCTAGATATCATTAAATCTTTTCCATTAAAAGGCAGGAGACCTTAAATGGACCCACAGGAGTAAAATGCACAAAATTCGTGCTTTTTGAGCTCAAGAAGCAAAGGGCCAAGAGTTAAGCCCTGTCTGCCAATATAGTGCCCATGCTCCTGGGCCTCCAGAAGGTGGCTACACACACCTGCAGACCTTTAGAAGTTTGATATTAGTCCATTCTGCTACTAGACTAACTAGCCTTGTTGAATTTGAAGTTAGTATTGATACTGATGAAAAGAAGAAATGGATTATTGGGCTCATAAAGTTCTTTTTTCCCTGAAATATACCTTCTCTGACCACTAATCAAACCCTGTCCTGTGAGCCCACCCTAAGGTTTACCTTCTGCAAGGCCTTTCCTGTTATTGAAGCTTGGCTGCTTCCCCTTTCAGCCTTTCTGACAGCACGCCCTGCCTCTGTTGGGGGAGGGGGGGGACAGGAGGGGGGATTCCTGTATTTCCAGCTACTCTAGACCAAATAATCTCATAAGTGTCATTTGTTTCTAGAGTCTTCTTTGAATTAAGGTTTTGTAATACAAGCTTAGCCAACATGTCTGTCCCCTCTACTAGGGCTGGTCTATGGGACCTGCACTGGTTCCCAGATTTGAAATTAGGAGACTCACCCCAAAACACCAGGCCACTTCAAGAGGTCAAGATTTTAACTCCCAAACCCTTATTTCCTACACACATAAACTGGAGACAGGAGTAATTCATAGTCATATGACTATGGAGGCTGACAATGCTTTTTGCATTGTGGATTATATATATATATATATTTTCTTTTCTGGTGCCTTTTCTTGTATCTTTAGTTCTACCTTCCCTCTTTTCTTCTATCTCCTTCTTCTCTCTCTTTCTCTCCATCCCTATGTGTACATGCACACATACATTTTATTTTAGATTTTTTTAGTTTTCAGCATTTCTAATTTTTTAATTGCTATGTAAAAACAAAATTGTACATATTAATAGGTATCAGGTGATGTTTTGATACACATATGCATTTTGTAAGGTTTAAATTGGGTTAAACATGCCTGTCTCCTTCAACATTTACCATCTCTTATGGTGACAGCTCAGAATCCTTTCTAACTTTTTGAATTATATAGTATATATTTGCTATCTATGGTAGCCCTGTTGTGCAACACACACCAGAATTTCTTACCCTTATTTAACTGTTACTTAAGAATCACTGATCGGTCTGGGGTTGTGGCTCAGTGGTAGAGTGCTCACCTTGCACATGCGCAACACTGGTCCGATCCTCAGCAAGCACCACATAAAAATAAATAACTGAAATAAAGATATTGTGTCTAATTACCACTAAAAATAATAATAAAAAAAAAGAACCACTGATCAAACTTTCCACAACTCCCTTTCCCCCACATTATATCTGGCATCTGAAAGACTTCATACATCCTTGCCACTCATATAAGAACCTCAAAGTTTAGCCCAGTGTTGAAAACCCATAAAGTAGTTTTCTCGTTCAATTTTTTTTCCAGTATATATTCTTCGGGCACCTGCTAGGTAACAGGAACACTTTAAGGTAGCAGAAATATAGTAGGAAATAAATAGATTATAAGTCATACACTCACAGAGGTTTTTTTTTTTTTTTTAATCAGAGAACATATAAACACATACATTTAAAAAGAGTGCCAGACAATATTAAATGGGAGAAAAACAAAACAGAAGAGAAAGAAGGTCAAATTTAACCGAGCAGTAATTTAGCTGAGCACATCTGTAATCCAGCTAATGAGAGGCTGAGGCAGGAGCATCACAAATTGGAAGTCAGCCTGGCCAGCTTAGCGACACCTTCCTCAAAATTTAAGCAAAAATGAGGTAGTGGCATGGGCCTTTGGAGAAGACTATTAGAGTGGAAGAAAGAATGAATAAGAGGCTCTGGGGCCCGTGGGGGTGGAGACGTGTGGGAGGAAGAACAGATGGGACAAGGCAGAAAGGACAGGAATTCCCGGATGTGGAGCCCTCTGTGACTATAATGGCTTTGGATGGTGTGGTACTTGCATTTCCAGTGCTGTTGAAAGCTGTGGGTTCTATGGCCTCTCGTCCTGACACTGGATGCCAAGGGATATTGTACAAGGCTCAGTGCCTACGTTGTCATTTTCCTTTACTTAAATACCCTGGAGGATGGAGAGAATTGCCAGGTTGTGGGGGCATCCCAATTGTCAAATCTGTCCCTAAAGATGTGGGGACCCCAGGCCTGGCGTTCTCAACATTTGCATTTGGTTCCAGAATAGATCCATTTCCTATAACCCCTAAACTCAGCAAATGCCTGTGGAAGGTGACAGTCTGCTTCTTGTTTTGGACATGGGCCTCTGACAAAGATCATCCTTGGAACACTAAAGCCACCACTTGTTGCATATGTCCACTCCTGGGTTTGAAGTTTTCTGCCACTTTGTAAAGTTACCTTTTTCCACCCTTGTCTCCAGAAAATGAAATCTCTCAAACATCCCCCCGTGAAACATTAACCATGCAACTGGGCAATAGTCGACAGGACTTTTCAGTTGAATATCAGTCTTAGGATCTCAGCTTTGCCTTCTCCACCCAGTGGCCCCCAGCTTTAGCCTTGCATCAGAATCACCAGTAAAACCTTGTTTAAAGGCTTGGCATCGGCTCGCCCCTCCCCAGAGGTTCTGCTTCAGTGCACCGAAGGCTGTGAGGGGGAAGATGTGCCTTTCTGTGCCAACTGTGGGAAGCAGT